GAATGCAACAGCTAGGATGTCCCTGGCCCCGCATCAACATCCAGAACCGGGATTATCCAATCGATCAAATACGCCCTGGGCAAAAACAAGCTCATCCGCCGGCCTGGCGAAGACCTGGTTTTCAAGTAATTTTATGAGAACCCTCAAAATGCAATGACTCTAAGGCACACATGCTCCGCATTTCCGGCGAAACCTGGGTGATGTACAGAAAAGCAAAACTGAAATAGCAAACGGCAAGAATAGAAGAAATGGCCCAGAAAAGAATTACCCTGGATTCAACCAGCGTGTTTGAACCGACCTACCTGTCGTGTCTTGGCGCCGAGGCTGGGTTCTCAATCTCGTCCCTCCGCTGCAGGAATTCCTCGAGCACCTGGAATCTTGAATTGGTTCATGGGGGAAACACCCAGTTAGGAACTTTATTTTAAAGGAAGACCCTAAAGCAAAAAGGAATTTGGGGCTGGCTAGGGGGTAAAGAGGCCCGGATTCACTTTGGCTCGCACTTGTGCTGACATCAGTTGAACCTGGGGCCGATGTTCATGGTGGATCCTGTTTGAAGCATGCCAAGGGCCAGTTTTGACACACAGCCAAACAGGAATGCATGGCCTTGACAGGTTGCTGAGAGCAACTCGAGCTTGCAATTTGAGTGGCACATTATAATTTATTACTTGAGGAACGGACGGAGAGAGTACTGGTTGGAACAAGTGAAAGTTGATCTCACAAGAAGCACCCCCCCAACCCTATTTTTCTATATTTTTCTGCCATGATTCCACGTCACCTATCTTTTTCAAGCCTTGACCAAACAAACATGACCGACCAAACAGGTCCCCACTCGCCACTTCTTCGGCTCCTCACTTTCGTCAATATATTGACTAAAGCCACGAAGCCTCAGTTGCCCAATGGCTATGTCTTGCTTAACTCCAAAGGAATCCAACTGTGCGCAGCCCCTGGATCCAAGAGGCACAACGCCGAAAAGCGCTTGATGGGAATACTCTTGAGCGTTGTATTTACCAAGTCATTGTGCGGGAGTCACCCGAATCAAATCACTTTCGCAACCTTTCGTGGGGCTTCCGAAGCTGCGCCCCAATGCAACTTACGTGACCTTTCGTCAGTGGAATCATGACAAAGCCTTTCGCCAGACCTTTTGCGGCTTTGCAACCCAGCAAAAGCAGAACAGCTTGGAACACTGTTTTCCTCACGACTATTGCTTTTCCTTGCACGGTTTTAGAACGCTGCGCACTCTGTTTGCTTGACATAATCAATGACCAAACTCCTCTGTGGGCTTCGTTCCATGACTTGCACGTCAGACTCGACGACTCGCCCACTGACCTTAGGCAATCTTCAGGTCTCAGGCCCGTGTGCTGGTATTCTTTGAGGGTGTCCCTGCTTGGGGAAAATTGGAGGTTCCTGTATTCTGCGATGAGCCCACTTGCTTGTCGTATTCTTCTTTCAAGAGCCTACCCTGGAAACTGAAAAGACCAATGGAAAAGTCTCGGAAGGCGGTACCTGGAGGGTACTCTGCAAATCAACCTGAACCCCGGAAATCCTTTTTTTATTTATGTAAAGCAATCAATGTTTGAGGCTTTGGGTTCATGTCATTTTACGAACTCATCAGGCCTTGCCATACTGCTCTGCCAGGGAGGAGCTGACACCTCGGAACGCGGTCTGCTTTTGGTCCCTTTAAACCAGGTTCGTAAAGTGACATCCTCAAAATTACCCTCTATGGTGGTTTGAAGGCACAACCCCCCCCAAAAAAAAAGAAGAGCACCCTTCAAAATCTTCGCTTGAAGGGACCCAAATACCCCCCCCAATTCTACCCAGAACCAGCGGCGCAATTGCGAACAGAAATCTCCCTTACTAGGAGCTGCTCAGGGTTTTAGTGCGGCTCAAATGTACTGCAGACCCAGGTACTTGTTGTACGGGCACACTAAAATGGACCTAAAACGGGGGTTGGTGCCCTTGGATTCTGTTTAATTGCAAGCCTAGGCCGGGGCAATATGTGAGCATGTGGGGGGTTGTGACCCTTGTAGGTAGATGCAAGGTTCACCACCCTGAGTTGCGTTTTTCAGGCTGACTTGGCCTGTGGCTGTGGCTTCTTTAGGGCAGTTGCATTAATCTCGCTGCTTGAACTTCTGCTTTCGAAGACTTTTCGATGCTACAGCCGACGCCGGGCATCAACCTGATGGATTTTCCCGGGGTGTTCCTTCCAAAAGAAAAGCATCCCTTCTGAAATGCAACCCCCCCTCAATCAACCCAGAGATTGTTCATCCTGGGTTCCCGTTTATTTGCTTAGAATGCAAATCCCATATTGAACTCTTGTGGCTGCCTTGTCCGCTAGCAGCAGGTGCTTGGCTACAGGAGCGCGAACTTCACCGTCCAAGGTTGAACAAACAAACGGCCCCAGACTCCCAACAAATATATATATATATATATATATTCATCCTGGGCATATTGCTTTATCTATTTATAACACACACACACAATTTATAAAGTATGACAATTCGAAATAAAATCCGGACAAGTTTATAAATATTTACGAACTCTTGTCCTACCAAAAAAAACTACCTTCAAGGGAGCCAGGGGCTCACAATGAACTTCCCGAAGGTGGCAAGACCTGTCGCGCCCGGACCATGCTCGTCAAGAGGTGATCCAAAGGCAGGCCAAACAACAAAGGTTCACCGCTCTGCGCGTATTACTGGCGTAAATCTCAATATATTTGTATATATATATATATATATGTTAATATGTATGTGTATATATATATAAACGAAGAAACAAAAAAACATATATTGTACCCCAAGATATCACCTGATTCAATTCAGCTGGTAAGCTGAAATTTCCATAGAGGCAACCCTGATTTGGCGCACCAGCACCGTGCAGAGCCGCGTGCATGTCGAGGTTCTGGCCCCGGGCGATGGCGGAGCGGAGCACTTCCCTGGCCTGGTCGTAGTCCTGAACCGGGGAAAACAAACACAACTTTTCATGAGGGGCGGGGTGGGAGGGGAGGGGAGGGGAGGGGAGGGGCTGGGGGGGAGGGAGGGGAGGGGGAGGGAGCCCCTCCCCTCCCTAGCCCCCATGAACTTTTCCCCGTCAAAGGCTGTATGGCCCCAGAGACGCGGTGGATGGAGGGGTGGGTAGATGGGTGGCTGGGTGGATGGATGGGTCAATACTGTTGCCCTGACATGGGAAATTTGACAACCACTGGTTGTGCGAAATTGTGCGAGCACCCACACCCTTCCCAAATGGACCGCAGACTACTGGACATGCAGGACAGAAACTCGTACATAAAATCCATGGCCATGTTGGGCACCTTTCGTCTGGCTCCCCATCGAAACTAGAAGTTCGTACCTGCGGATCATACATTTTACACAGGTGATAGATATGTACATATATATATATATATTATGCAAGTGCTATCCCCCCTAGCCGCAAAAGGTAGGTGCACACGCGTGTTCATACGGATTGCTGTAGTGGCATGCTATTGCAAACAGCGAAATGAGAATGCATTATGCTGGATCAGCAGTCTGTCAATTCAACCTTGGCAAGTAACCCAGGCAACATACAGGCATGCGATTCGTATTGGTACAGTGGTACTTGAGTGTATTAGCTTGAGCATTGCTGCTTTTAGTTGCGTTGGTCGTGCTTGTGTTTATTTGTTGGGTTCCTAGTCCAGTCACAGTTGAGTAAAGCAAAAGTGTTTAGTAGCACGGTTGCCTCAGTCTAGTCATAGCATCATATTATATTAGTTTGGATAGTTAAGCATCGCTGATTCTAATGTGGAATGGCTTGTCAATCCTAGGGTTTCCGCCTCGTAGAAGACAGCAAAGCGAAAAAGGCAAAATGCCCTCCAACAAGTAAAGCGTTTCTCACATCGGCCAGCGACCCGTGAAGGAAAAAACAGTAAATAGCACAAACAGATGCAAACAGTCTCTCTTTCGGCTGTGTCACTTCTTACTTTACGAAAACAGCAAGACCTGTGCTACTTTTGGCAGTTTGACCTTTTAGTTTTGCCCAGTAACAGTAAACCAGTACATGGCCAAACGAACATTTGTTTGCTTCAGCCACTATATAGCCACCATACGAGGGGCACACACCCTGTGTTTCCCTGGGGTTAGGGGCTTGGGGATAGTGGAAACCATCTTAGATTCTTACATCCAGCCTTTGACCTTGTGCGGTGCAGCCCTAGAAAGATCAGCATCAAGAAGTACATTCGTCACCTTACTTCACTTGGCAGAGTGGAAGGAGATCGCAACATCGCACGCAAAACGGGAATCGGGAAAGTCAGAGATCAATCCGGCTGCATCCGAGAAATGCGGAGTGGGCTTGGGGAGGGGCGCGGTGCAGGATCCAACCAGCCGCGCCAGCAGCTTCAGGACCATTGTGTTCGAAACCCACTGTAGACAAAACCATTGGCAAAACAGAGCACTCTTGGGTGTACACACCCATTTTACATGTTTGGGTTGACCACCAAAGGCTTGCTGATGTTCATATTACCCAAAAGGGGAAGATAATCATAGGCAACTGAGGGATATGAACAAGGGGTGGAGTCCACGAGTCCAACACAGCAACCTCGCCTGGGAGAGGATGGCACTGGTGAAGGTGTCCACCCAGTTTGGATCTGGGCCCCTCAGTCCGCTTCCGCCAAGGAAATCCAGCCAAAACGAACCGCATGTAGCCTTTAGGGCAACTAGATGGCCCGGGTAGACGATTAAACCACCAGGTAAACCAGCCATCTATTCTTCCACCAAAACAACCCAAAAGGACACCTTGCATGTAACCAAGATCAAAATTGCCTCTTTCACACCCGTGCTATCCTGTGCTCTGCTCGCAAATACTTTGTTCTCTGTGGCCCGCCACTAAGAAATGAAAACAAACGTAAGTAAAATCCATGCCAATAATTGCGAAGACCTCCCTTGACGTACATGTTCCCTTCAGTTTTTGCCAATTATACATGACAAGTCGCAGTCATGACAGTGGATGCTGTCAGCTGTCCATAGGACTTTTTGCCCACGCGCTAAGAGCGACCATCTCGACAGGCACATGGGGCCATGCTGGCCCCTTAAAAGCTTGACGACCTATTAAATCTTCAAATCTCCAATCAGCGAGCGCTCCCTAAGACTGTCCGAGTCGGCAGGCGGATTGCACGGACATCCAGCGTCTGGCTGCTTGCTGGGATTGGAGATAAATGAGCACATGTCTCATAGTAGTAGGGGAAGCCCAAAAGTCATGGGTTGCCTTCTGGTTTCCCCTTCAACCAATTCAAAAAAGGGGCCCTCAAAAAGCACACACACACACACACGCACGTGTACCAAGAGCCTGGTTCACCTGTTCTTCAAGTGCCCAACCGTCCTGCAAGTCAACCCGCTGCAACTTGAAAAGGTCGAGCGAGGGGTGGAAGCCAGAAATCTGATCTGAAAGGCCGCGATTGCAAAAACTCCGTGCGTACTTAGGTGATTTCATCTGCAACGGGCGGTGTAGATTGGGTTGTTCAAAACGGGGGGGGGGGTCGCATTTTTCAGCAACGCGTAGTGGGACACCACCACGTACAACAAGGGAAACAACCATCATCTGGCATGAGGACTCGCGATTGATTTGGAACGAGCCAGGTAATGAGAAAGATTCCCGGTACCCACATTCCGCAGTTGCATTCCCTATTGAAATAGAAGCAAAGCAGTCATTGTGCCAAGCATTGCTTGCTTAGGGATTCTAGCACGTACACTGAGCTTGTCACCGATAGACAGATGAGATACTTGAATGGATCGTCCGGCCTGATCATTGGGGGGCCAACTGGGGGAGAAAACAACTCATACAATGGACCGCTAAGCTGTTAAATCCTGGGAACACTAGCACAAACTTTGATTGCAGACAGCCACTATCAGCCACTAATAGACTGCAACAACAGAACCAAGGACAACACATGCCAGGAACTGTGAAGATAACCTTTCTAAATGATTCAAGCTTGAGCTCATCTCTGCGCCCACCTCCAAGCTCTTGGACGGAACATTGGAACTAAGGCTTTGTTGGGCCCTGCGAACTGCCATGCTCACCCCCAAGGGATGCTTCTTGCAATTGAAGTGACCAGGGATCTGGGCAAAAATATCATGTTCCCTGCCCTTTTGTTTCCATCGGACAAATGTGACATGTTGCTCCTAATGAACAACACATGCGGCAAAACGTGTTAGCGTTTGGAAACGCGGAATTCCACGTGACACGAAGCAACAATGAGTTCATCTAACAAAGGGCATTTCTTTTTTTCACTCAAGAAAGTGATGTGGCTGTGGGTCAAAAACAAGCACCCAACATGGAACCCTGGTAAATGGAAACATGGACCACAATCTACGATCCCCTGGTGGCTTAGTTTTGACCCATACCCATGCATTCGGCCAGCTGCTCCTGGCTGCGACATTTGTGACCATGGCAGCAGAACTTGCACGCGCTCGCTCGCTCCAAGCGCCAACCTCCAGGAAGGCTGGGCCCGGCAAACCTCGCGTGCTCGGGACAGCCCTCGGCTAACTTGGAAGATCAGCCAACAAGGGGGGCACGCAGGCATCAAAGAAAACAAGCCAACACACGCAAATACACTCACAGACATGCACTTTACAGGCTTGCTTAAACAGGCATATAGTGGATCTTGCCGAACTCTGGGCAATGTACTGATTCAGGGTGACCACTGATCTGATGGGTTCCTTGTACATGGCCTTCCAACATCACCCCACCAAGGGAGACCAACTTTCAATTTGACCGGATGAAATCGAAAAAAATATCTCAGCCGGACATCGAATCTAGTACACCGTAACACCCGAAGAGCGGCTCTTCGCGGTGGCCCTGAGGTTGGGGCTGGAAATTAGTTGAAAGGTGGACATGAGGAGTTGTGCGCTTTGCTAAGTACCCTCTTTGGAGTTCTTTAAAAGGGCTTCAACGCTATGTTGGCATGTTTTCATACTCCAACTAACATGGCACCTGCGGGAGGGTAAGAGGGGATATATATATATATATATATATAATTATACATATATATATATATATATATATGGTCACCCCCCCCCCATGATCCACATTTTGCCTCTTGCAAGCAAAAAACACTGGAAAAACACATGTAAAATGCTTGTTTTTGACCACCTGTTCCAGGATCAGACTCTGATCCTGGAAACTTGGGTCAAAAACAAGCATCATTCTTGATGAGTAGATTAGTCAAAGATTGCGACATTCTTGATGGACAGATGTTAGGCAACTTGAAGCAGATGCTTACAGATGGTTTGTGTGGACAGCCTTCTGGAAAAAAAGTTAGCAGGGAGCAGATGGAACTTATGGAAGCAGCAGAAAGTGCTGTACTGTCCCTAAAATCCAGGCTTTGGAGGCTGAAAGTGCTGTACTGTCCCGAAAAAACCTAAAAAACCATTCCAAAAACAGTCTTGGGCACACAAACCTCCTTCTGGCAAGGATTTTTTGGTTTTTTAGGGACAGTACAGCACTTTTTTAGGGACAGTACAGCACTTTTTTTGGTTTTTTAGGGACAGTACAGCACTTTTTTTGTTTTTTAGGGACAGTACAGCACTTTTTTTGTTTTTTTAGGGACAGTACAGCACTTTTTTGTTTTTTTAGGGACAGTACAGCACTTTTGAGCATCAGCATGCAGAAAGTGCTGTCCCTAAAATCCAGGCTTTGGAGGCTGAAAGTGCTGTACTGTCCCAAAAAACCATTCCAAAAACAGTCTCAAGCCGCCTTCTGGCAAGGAATTTTTGATTTTTTAGGGACAGTACAGCACTTTTTTTGGTTTTTTAGGGACAGTACAGCACTTTTTTTGGTTTTTTTAGGGACAGTACAGCACTTTTGAGCATGAGCATGCAAAAAGTGCTGTACTGTCCCTAAAAAACCCAAAAAAGTGCTGTACTGTCCCTAAAAAACCAAAAAATCATTGCCAGAAGGAGGTTTGTGTGCTCAAGACTGTTTTTGGTATATTTTTGGTTTTTTAGGGACAGTACAGCACTTTCAGCCTCCAAAGCCTGGATTTTAGGGACAGTACAGCACTTTCTGCATGCTGATGCTCAAAAGTGCTGTACTGTCCCTAAAAAACCAAAAAAGTGCTGTACTGTCCCTAAAAAACCAAAAAAAATCCTTGCCAGAAGGAGGTTTGTGTGCCCAAGACTGTTTTTGGAATGTTTTTTTTTTTTTTTTTAAATTTTTTTAGGGACAGTACAGCACTTTCAGCCTCCAAAGCCTGGAACTTTCTGCATGCTGATGCTCAAAAGTGCTGTACTGTCCCTAAAAAACCAAAAAAAGTGCTGTACTGTCCCTAAAAAACCAAAAATTCCTTGCCAGAAGGAGGTTTGTGTGCTCAAGACTGTTTCTGGAATGGTTTTTTAGGTTTTTTTAGGGACAGTACAGCACTTTCTGCCTCCAAGGCCTGGATTTTAGGGACAGTACAGCACTTTTAAGCATGCAGAAAGTGCTGTACTGTTTTTTGAAAATTGTGGATGTGGGAAGGCAGTAGCAGATGTTTGTCACTCCGACGAGCTGGCTTGCATTTTTCTTGCCTTTTTCCTTCGAGCGCATATCCGGTAATCACTGCTTGCGCAGTGCCTGCAGCATCTGGCCGGTCACCTCCCACATATTAGCGCGGCGATGCCAGTATTCAAACTGTGCGGATCTCAGCTTTCGCAAGAGAACCTGACTGCCGGGAATTCTATTCGTGTGTTTCAGGTGAGATCGAAGGGTGTTCCAGAACCGGTCGATGATCTGGGTGCCGCTCTTCACACGCACCTTCTTCCCGTCCGGCAGCTTGACGTCGTACTGCTTGGTGTAGTGGGGCTTCACCCAAACGGCCTGACAGACAGGAATAACAGAATCAAGTAGATCCCTTAAGAGGCAGTTAAAGCAGTTTAGGTCAGAGTTACTTGCCTTGCCGTTGATGACGATGCGCTTCTTCTTGTGCACGACGTTGCAATGCCTCACGTCCGGCAACCTGAGCTTGTAGGCTCTGGCCCCATCGCTGTGGAGGATGACTTTCCGGCCCGCGATGTGCTTTTTCGCAATCGGCTGCCAGTCCCTCTTCCTGATGGGACCTGGCCCCGGAGATCTCTTTTTGGTGAGGATGGGGTTGAGCCTGAAGAGCACCAGCGAGGATGGCCTTCCTCGCTCCACGAGTCCACCCCACTGTTCCCATTTCGTGTTGAGGTTTCCCGCCACGCTCTCGTCGGTCAACTTGCCAATGTCGACCTCGTCCACCTCCACGTCCTCCCACTTCCCGCCGAAGACAATGTCCTTCTCCTTCTGGGCGACGTACTGCGAGCGAGCGACCTCCAGGTTGTGGTAGATGCGCTCCACTGGCTTGTGGTCCATATCCGCCGCATTGCTCGAGACCCCCACCACCGCGCAGAAGAGGACCGCCACCTGCTTGTGAAGTGGAGTTGAAGAATTGCCAGCAGACATGAAGAAGATGGGATGGTAGTCATGAGGCTGAAGTTGCTTGTGGCAGGCACGCTTCTTGCACCGGTACGCCCAAATCTTCTTGTCATGGTAATACTTCAGGGGCCCCATTACGCCGTTGCCACATCGAGGGCAAGTTCTGCCTTCCCAGTCTGTGAGGATCTTGTCCTTGTGGAGCTGCTTGTGGAGACGCTGTCCAGTCAAAGATTCCCAAGTCAAAATCGAACGCCCCCAGCGCGCTCTGTGGCCTTTGTTCTTGGTAGTGGGCATGCCATGGCGGACATATGGCACCGGAGCAGGATTCTTTGAGGCAGGCCTTCGCTGCACGCGCCACTTCCCCCGCTTAGGATCTGGGAACTTGGCCTTCACGGACTTCATGACCTTCTTTGGCATGATGGGCAAGATCAACTACAAAGGATCAAGGCGATTGAAGCAGATGGCTGCGTGAACGATCAATGCGATTCGCTTCCAAGCAACATGTGCAAGCAAGATGGCACTGGAGACCTAATGTTTTTTTAGCCAAGCTCCATGTCTCTATTGGGGTTATATTTCTATCTAGAACAAAATCCGCTGAGTGCGGCTCACACGCGGCTCAGTTGTCGTCAATGTCCATGGCATCCGCGAGTTCTTGGGAAAGGGTTCGGTATGCCTCGATGTCATACTGGTCGGGAATCTCGTCCATAGGGTCCACCACATCAGGAGAAGAAGCCGGCAAAGGCACAAGGACCTTGGTCTCATCCACCACATCGGCTGCTGGAGGAGCTGTAGGGTCAGAAAGCTTCTCCACAGGGTCCACCGCATCAGCTGCAGCCGGTGCAGCAGAGGCTGGGTCACTTGCATCCTCAGACGTGTCTGACAGGTTGATCACCAGAGGGCGCAGGTTCAATGGCTTGGAAAAGTAGGAGGGATCCACTGGCTCTTGCTTGATGTGCACCTTATGCGTCTCCTCTGGTTCTTCTTTGATACCCTGCACGTCCTCATCCTTCTCTTCTTCTTTTGTTTTCTGCTCATCCTCGTCCTTCGGCTCGTCTTTGGCATCCTGCGCATCTTCGTTCTCCTTCTGTTCTTCTTTTGTTTTCTGCTCATCCTCGTCCTTCGGCTCGTCTTTGGCATCCTGCGCATTCTCGTTCTTGATCTCCTTGAGCAAGTTGGAAGAGGACTTCACAGATCGAAGCTTCTTAGTGGGCGGCTCGTCGACGGCAGCGCCAGCATCCAGGTAGTACTTGGTCTTGCCCTCAATGCCCGCGAGTGTTGGTCGATCTTCAATGACGTACTCCCTTCCTGAGAACAGTTCTTTCCCACGGGTGGTCGCACAATAGCGGACCTCCTCGCCATCCAGCGCAGCCTGCAGCAAGTTCAAACTCCACTGCATGTCCTTGTCATGATCTGCCGGCAAGTGAGAGAGGTTACCGCGCTTGTAGGCAGCCAAAAGGGGTCGGGCAGATGGAGAGATCATGCCAATATCCCGCTCTGGCCAGGCATACCGGGGAACGGGTTTGCGGTCTGTGCCTGGCACACGTACGTACATGCCCACATCGGTGAAGACGATGAAGGTGGATCGCTTGAAGACACCGACAAGGTCCTCTTCATCGAAGTCCCTGTGGAAGGAGGGGCGCACGATCTTGTAGAACTGCTCGAAGGTCACGGTGTCCTGAGTCGAATTGGCGTCCATCGGCGGCTCTGCAGTCCTGTCATAGGGATTACTGCAAATCTGGCATAGCTGATTCTTCGCGTACGAGGACGCGTTGTATCTTGCCATTGTCTTCCTGTCGACGCCGTCCACCTCCGTCACTGCCTTAACACCTGCGGGATGCTCCAGGTTGAGGTTGCCATCATCAAACACCCTCGGTTTCGTCCGCCTGCCCTTCTCCTTGCGGAAGTAGTCGAGGTGGTTGCATGTCTGAAAGCAAGGGCTGCCCTCCTTCTCTTCCTGAATCAACCAATATGCGGACACCACAGATGAGAGGGTGTAGGACACCGGGCTTTTACCCACCTGAGACTTGCCAATCCAGATAACGGAGTGGGACATCACATGAGGAAGAATCGGTGCAAGGATAGTGTTCAAAGCCCACGGCGTGATGCTCTTGAAGGTGAGAGGCCACTCCTTGATCGTATTAGCTTGAGAGCCTTGGTCCGCGAGGCACCTCAGGAACTCCTTGATGGTCCCCTTGTCCCACTTGTGGAGCGGGCCGTTCGGATCGTTGACCTGCTCCTCCGTCCACACTGTGAATTGCCCGTCGGAGTTTTCTTCCGGGCCAAACTGACGGATATAGGCGAAGCCCTTGCGGATGTCCTCCGTCTCTTTGGGCATTTTGCTCGAGGCACCGGCGGACACGAGCTTCTGGTAGCGGACCTGGAAGCCGCCCAGCCCCTCGAGCATGTACTGTAGTCCTCGACCACCATCGCGGTACTTGCCCTGCAAGTCGATCTCGAGTGGAACGCCCTGGCACATAGAGATGATGGAGCTGTGGAGGACCTTTGCACCTTCTAGGAATTTGATGTGCTTAATGATGTCTTTCTTGCCCCCTTCCTTGGGGATGATGAAAATCTGCATGTTGTAGGGGGCCTGGAAGTTCCCCTTCATGCGCACGGGCTCGGGTAGGTCGGCATACCGTTGTTGAAGGAACATTGTCTCTACCGCATTCAAGTCAATAGGCCCTTCGTGGTCAGCAATGACATCGAGGAACTGCGTCTTCTTTTTCACGGAGTCGGTGATTTCCATTTTAGCTGGCAAATCGCCTAGCTTAATGGAACCGGGCTCCTTGTTCACCACCATTGGCTTCTCCAGGTAAAGGATCTTCATGCCGTCGGTGTGGGCGATGGCTTCCTCCAATGTGCAGTTGCCGTCCAGGTTTGCGTTGTCGAAGGAACGAGCCAGCGACTCAGCACGATGAGGAGGCACAGATGCCATGATTGGAGCAGAAGGGAGTATCAGGAAGTTACCTCAAATTGAAATGGCTGCAGCAGAGTACACGGAAATTTGATGAGCTTGAGATGCAAGCAGTATGTTAATAGCCTCCATTGGGAGTTGGGCTAATAGTACTTCAGCCATTAGTTACACACTGCGGGGTCAAACTAAGGAGCCAGAGCTGAGACCACACACTGCAGCCATAGTAAATGTGGATCATGGGGTTGGAATATCAGAAAGTTGCCCAGCTTTGCAATGGATGCAGTATAGCACAAGGAAACTTAATGAGCTTGATATGCAAGCAGACTCAGGCGTACATGGTCAGCAGGCTTTTTTTCCTTGCGGCTTGGAAAACTGAGAGAGTAAAAGCAGTCCTAAGGACTGTCCCATAAAAAACTATGCAAATGCCTCTCACTCATAATCAAGCCAAGTTCATTCTCTTGGAGGACGGTCTCCTCGCTCGCGCTGATCTTGAAGTGCAAGCCTTCGAAGCTGAACACTTCCGATCCTTAGATGGGCAAGAGCAGAAATGACAGCAGAAGGACCCCATAAGAAACTGCAGTTTTCGACTCGATGACATCGGCCAAGTAGCCACATGGTAGAGCGGCTCTTCGCGGTGGCCCTGAGGTTGGGGCTGGAAATTAGTTGAAAGGTGGACATGAGGAGTTGTGCGCTTTGCTAAGGTACCCTCTTTGGAGTTCTTTAAAACGGCTTCAACGCTATGTTGGCATGTTTTCATACTCCAACTAACATGGCACCTGCGGGAGGGTAAGAGGGGATATATATATATATATAATTATACATATATATATATATATACACATATGTTTCCTTTTGAAGGAAGCCCTGTCAGGTGCCATGCCATGGGTAAATGGCTTCCTACCAGATAACATTTCCCAGTTTTGGGTTTCGTGTCAATCTGCACCATCGCCTCACCAGCTCTGCTTGTCCGGCTTTGCATAGGCGATGTACGAGATGCTGCCCAGCACGCCCAGCACCGACACCAGGCCGATATCCGCCAGCGTGCCCGACAAGCTCCTGGTTGAAGATAGCCACTGCGCCTTTTCTTTCTTGGTACGTGAGCAAAAACACGTTCTTCGCGCCCCCACCCAAAAAAAAGAGCAGCACCAAAGCAACCATATGCCCAGAGCAGTGTGGTTTTGCTTCACCCATGCTCTGTTTAAGAGTTCGGGGTGGGTCGACTTGTTCATTTTTGGTCATGCCTCGGTGCAGGACCCGCTTCCGAAGATGTCAAGCCCTCTCCTGGTCATCAACAGCCCTCCGACCAGGCCCAGCTGTGCTGAGGCCTTGTAGGCATTGTCGATGCGAATCTGGTTGCGGTTGTACCTGACGCGGTAAGCCCTGTCCTGAGCGATGGAAAAAGGGTCGACACGGCTCTGCACAAAGCGCTCGGGTTGCCAAGATGGTGAACTGTATTGGGAGCCTGATCGAAAAGCACAATATGACATCAGGGCCTCCAAAAGCATCCAGCAAGCGGCTTCATCTATGATGGCCAAACCACTCCAATCTGCTGTCAAGAGGTCTGCCATTTGCTGCTCTGCCAAAGTCAACTCAGGCACGCGCGTAGATGTCCTCATCGTTCAAGGAGCGGGCTTTTCCACTCCTTAGCCAATAAGTCGTTGACCCACCGCTCGGATGTTAAATTGATCGTTTGTACTTGGCTTCTGGCGGATGCGTGGTAAACAAACCCGGACGGACAAACCTGGCTGACCCTGTATTCATCAATCAACCCCAGGCTAATTTATTTGGCAGAGTCTCATTTCACATATGTATCCAAATCAGTTTTGAAGATAACTCCCCCCATATGCATCCGGCAGTTGATCAATGCGGCGCTCCCATTACTTGCTGGCTATCGGCAAAGAATGAGGAATGACCCAGAACTTAATCTCGCTGGCTTTCTTGGGGATCCTTCTGGTTCATGCCCAAAGCAAAGGAAATTCCCCGAGAACCAGCAAGCAACTGGGGTTTGGACAAGAATGATCAATGATCCATTTGCTATTTAACACCCAGTTGGATTGCACACTCTTTGCATTCTTCAATGCAAAGCTGGGTGCTACATCAGGGTTCCCCCTATTTCCCACTCAAACATCACCCCAAGAGGACATTTATCTAACTTCGGCTTGCGGTCGCAAATCCTTGTCCACTGGAGTGCCCTCAATTGGCTCAAACGGTGATGTTTAAACTGGGGACCCCTCTGGAAAAAATACATAAAATATGTCCAGTAGTGATAAATAGGTGCTTTTTAAAGAGACCAACAAGGGACATTAAGAAACACCAACAAAGACAACAAAAACTTCAGCAAGTGGACCCCTCCCACTGCCGCAGGCCGCGTCCTTTTCAGCGAGGCGCCACATGAGGACCCCCACAGGGCCAGCGCCCACCAAGGCTCCCAGGAAGGCGGCGCGCCCGGCCTTCCGCAGGCGGTTCGGCTTCCGCGACACTGCGAGGCCTGGCGATCGCTGCCTTCGCTGGACCTCCTTTTGTTGGATTTGTTGCTGTTTTTTGGACTTGCCATAGGGTCTGCTTGGTAAGACCCGTTGGCTTCATTGGACCTTTTTGTTTGGTTTACCTACCACTGGAACTCATGAATTTTATCACCCTTTGGGAAGACCTATCACCGCTTGGATCAATTTTGTTCAAAGGTCGGCTTGGTAAGACCAGTTGGTGCTCTTTGAACCCTTTGCCAGTAAGATGTTGCTCGTTGGCCCTACGACCCCCTTCCTTAACAAGCAAGGCATTCCCAGGAAAGCAACCTGCATGGGGAGCTCGGTTTACCCCGCGAATCGGGCCGAACCCCAAGGCTTGGAATGGATCGGAGGTAAACCTTGGTTCTGTATTCGTCATTCTGATACCTCAGCCAACCCAAGCCGGTCAATCCCAAACATTGGGCGACCTCCAAAATGTGCTCCAATATACTCTCACAAATCGGCTCCTTGCGGATGCTACACATGGAGCTCGTTGATTACAACCCGATGTGGGTTCCCTGAGTTGCACATGGGAATCGTACTTGCCATACTTAGCGAATCCACAGTACCGTAGCTTCATCCCCAGCGGACAGCTGAACATTTAGATGTTGGTCCGCATCCATTTGTCTTACACGCAAGTGCGTGTCGGTGTAGGCATGCCTGCATGGATGCACGGATGGATGCAATGTAATGTAGTGGAACGCAATGTGATGTAACTTGGCGTAGCATCGGGTAACGTAACACAATAAAGCAATTCATGTGTGTCAACGTACCGGACATCATGTATGTATAGTAATGTATTATTTCATGGAAGTAAGAACCACCCCTTACGTAAGTCCTACAAGTTGGTCTTACAAGCCTCTTTATATGTTTTAACATGTTCAATTTCTCTGCAGCAGACACATATCTCGCTTGCTTTGACAAGTATGATTCTGATGGCCTCAACCTATCTTGAAGATATGACCGTAATTTACTGAGAACAAATATGTCAAGATCGGCACCAACTTGTTTGCAAAATGCCGGCATATCTCAAGTCATGGTCCCCATTCCGGACGTCCAGCCGCGGAACCCGTCCAGCTTCCTTCTATGTTTGCGATGCAATGAACGCAATGCCCTGAATGAAACCCTCAAATACGCATAAGGTGCATGTCTCATTTGGCAAGTCTCGGAGGGGCAAATACTTATGAGAAGCTCATGCTCTCACTCGAGTTGGTTCTCTCACTTCAAAAGTGTTCTTTGCCACATCAAATGACGTTCCCAGCAGAGATGTTGCTGGATGTTGTGAACCTTTCAAACGTGAAATGGTGTCAACACAGGTCTCCGAGAATGCAATAGCCACAAGGGCCGTTGACGGCAGGGGCTCAACATCAAATGTTTCAGGGTCGCATAAGACATATATGAATCTACAAGCTACTGACAGTAACGGAAAACACGCCAATCAAGAAATATAATGATGGACAAATTGCAGGTTGATTAGGGCGGCGATGGAATACGCCAAGAGCTGGATTTCTCTTGTATTTGGAAAACAAAAAGTCAAAACAAACAACGTCTGACTCGTATTGTCTGTCGAGGCTGTTGAGGGTGCTAAGTTGTGCAAGTGTTGATTGGAAGGTCGCAAACCATGCAAGTGATGACATTGACAAGCACATGCAGGAAGGAACACGCAGCAAAGGACCAGGCCTCTTAAACAATGCCTGCGACATCACAGAAACCCAAAACCAAAATCTCGAAAAAACAAATCAGCCTGCGGACGGAACAAGGCGCCTGTTTGAGTCTGGGGCTGAAATGTTAGCCGGGTATTACATATATTCATGTATAGTAACTGTACATAGCACACAACGTGTATGTATACGTATAATATAATGTGTATATATATATATGTATATATATATATTAAGCCGCACACCGGATCCAAGAGTTTCTGCGCAACGTTGCTCACTAGCCCAAAAGCACAGAGCGCAACAGAGTCAGTGTACGTATTTGGCCCTCACTACGATTCACTTCCCAAGAATCCAGTGCTTTCCACTTGCTAAAACTTGCTGGTGCTCAGCAGGGAATGTGGGAATGAACCCAGGGTTCCCTTCAAGGAAACCACCCGTTGGGGTGGTTCATAAGGAAACCATTCCATTTCTCCTTCCCTGCCCATCGCACCAGCGAGATAGTCTCCGCATCTGAGAGCCCAGCCTACGCCCAGTCCAAGGACGGAGAGCGCCTGGCGAAAGGCGCTTTGTTTTCCGATGCGCCGGGAGAGGCCAACCGGACCAACTCGCTCAGTTGAGACACTCCAGGGTGGGAACAGCGGGGTTTCTCCAACCACTTCTGTGATGCAAGGAAACCTCCCCCCTGGTATGGGGGGGTAGTCTTTGGGAAGCCCTTCTTGTTGTAGCACAGAAGTGGATTCCATTTCCCACAGCCCTGCTCAACACCTCTTTGAGTGAAGCAAAGTCCGCTGGGGGCCAAATAGAGAGTCCGGGAAAAACACCATTCGCACACCGATCAGAGCGCTTCCTTTTGGGGAACCTACAAAACATGGGGCTATTTATCACCGCAGCATGTGGGCAGTGTTCAAAACTTCTTTTGTGGGCCATAGTCATGGTTCCATTAAACTCCCCATTGAAGGGTTCATGACCATCCCCGCCATAAGTTTCACATCCACGTGGCCATCCCAACAGCAAACGGTTCAAAGTTTAAAGCTTAATCCAACTCAAAGTATTTTATCCGTGCAACGACTTGTCAATGTCCCTTTCGGCTCCACCCCTTCGCCGTTTTCGCCCGAGCCTCTGCGCACTTGTAGCTGACGTGCAGCTGCATCTCATTCCAGGGATTTGCAATGTCTCGCATCTCGTCATCTGGGAGGTTCATGTGAGCAAACCAGTTCCTCGCTGGTGCGATGCTGGGTGAACAGAATTGGCGACTCCCCCACTGTTGCCCCAATTGAACCTTCGGGGGAGCTGAGGGTTTCAGAACTTCACTGGGATGGACAACGAGCTTGCAGCGAGCGGGGTGGAAACAGCTATCTTCAAAAACATCGGAGCCTAGGGGGGGCCATCCTGTTCAACATCCATTCAAAGCGAAGGCTTTCACAGCTAGCATGACGTTCCACACACCGCAGGGCAAGCAAAGTCAACGAGGCCACATCTGCAAGGAGGTCTGCCCAATCTGCGACGGGATACCAGAGGTTGCCTGTATTGTCAATTGCTATTACCCGCAATGCGCAAGCGCTGCTTCAAATCCACTCGGTGAACACATTGTGCTTGTCGCTTCATCATGCTTTACATGGCACTATGCCACTTGACATGGATGTTACTGACACTGGCCTCCTACGCTCACCTGGCCTCCTAGTGCGCATGCAACAACCGCCATGTAGGAACAGCCATTGTCAGGAGGGCCATCAATCAGCAAGCACAGGAAGCCACCGCTGAGATCTTTCCTGCTGATATTCTCAAGCATGATGTCTCAGGCAAACAGGGGCACCAAGAAGAGGCAACAATGCATTTACCAACATTTACCCAGCTACTGTCTGCATATACACACACATGTATATGCATCATCCAGTGTTTTCCTTTCTGCTGCTTCGCATTGCACCCAACAAATGACATTGACTGATGCCGCCCAAATTTGCCCCAGCGAGTTGGATGACTCGCGCGCCAGAACTTGGCTCAGCAGCTGGGTGTATGTCTGCAGCAGCCACACCAAGATTGGCGAGTGCCAAATACCATCAGGTCTTGAGTGGAACCGGGTGTCGAAACAAGGGACCCAAATATTTGGAGCCCCTTTACAGGCAGGCCACGCCTGCCCCAGGGGGTTCAATAATGCAAGCAAATGTCACTTCCGGCTCCAAACAAACTGAGTTTTTCAGCTCTTGGCTTTAAGAAACATACGGTCCTTCTTCCGAACGCTTTCTCAGGCCCCGCCTGAAGAAGGCCTTGTTCAAGCCCAGCCCGCCGAAGGCGGAAGCCAAGCCATCCGCGATCTGCACCTCCATGCCCATCTCTCCGGACTTCTCCATTTTGAGCAGCTGCGAGAAGTAGAAGAAACATCCACCGCGAAACCAGGGGAACCCGTCTTGCCGAAGAAAACAGAAGAAGAAAAAAAGAGAAAACAAAAACAGGGAAGCAAGACGATGATGTGCCCTCACCTATACAAATTCCGATTATGCACCCTTCGTGTGATCCTGAAGGTGCCAAAGGGAAAACATTTTTCTGAAACTGAGTCGGAGTAATGTTGGCGGTCAAGGGGACTTCTTCCCCTGAAAGATTTGCAAGTCGCTCACCTTAGATTAGACCTTCAAGCAGTTTTTCGACATGCCTGCACATGAAATGAGCCTCGCCCTGCTTGCAACAATTGTGACAGTTAGAAACCTACCAACTGGCTGACGGCTGTCAACATGCAATGTCCGGTACACTTTTGGTTGATTGGTGTTGGACCCCAACCAGCTGGGCAATATATTGGACCTGAAACAAGTTTCACAATCTCCAACGGACTATGTCCTCCTCTTTGGCGAGGTGAAACAAAACCTCCAGCAAAATTCAAGTCTTCCAAACAAATGGCAGCTGACTACAATGGACCAATCATGGACTACATCTGTCGAATAGATGTGCTTTCACACGGACGAGGTCGCTGTGTCTTCGTGTCGGAACTCGGAATCGAGGTCCAAACCCCATCGCAGAACTGGAGAGGAGCTGGTCCGTAGGCTCCATGGCCTGCGGTCGGGGCAACCAGCTTTTTGTTGGTTGTTTTTTGCTTGTTTTGTTTGTTTTGTTTTGTCTTGTTTGCGTGTTTGTTTCTGTTGTTTGTTTTGTTTTGTTTGTTTTGTTTTGTTTGTTTGTTTGTTTGTTATTGTTTAAACCAAACAACAACTTTGGCACACTTCTTTCTAACTTACACACGCTTTTTCAACCCTGGCACGTGTTATTTCAACCGCAGGAGTAAAAGAAGCTCGCCGTTCGAAGAAGGGAATCCCAGAAAATAGCAAGAGCCGCAAAGAAGACCATACCTGACAGAACCACCATGCTAGCTTGTGGAACAATATTATGTTGTGAGTGCCCTCATCTCCTCTGAAGGAACAAGGGTAGACAATTGGTCCGTGCCAAGGGGAAACCAAAGGAAACCTAACGAACCTTCTAACCTTGTGGATTGCTCGACTTTGACAGCCCCCCCCCCACAGGATTGAATGCCTCGTGGATGGCAGTCACAGGGCCATGGCTATCAAACTCAAGATGGCTCCGCTGGATGTGTCTGAGCGGATGTCTGAGTTTCACTGTCCGGATGCTCAAACAATCTCAAACGGTTTGCCGCCATTCAATCATTCTGGGGCAAAGGCTAGTTGTCCCCACGCGTAAGGGATGCTCACCTGATTCTGTGGCATGCCTGAGCGGTCTGAGGAACCAACTGTCTTGGCATCCTTTGCCTCTCAGCTCTTGCTTGGCTCATCGCTAGCAGCAAAAGAGTCTCACAAGCTCCATGGACCCCTTCAGTCATAGACCTCCATAGAGGGCTATGCCGGGCTATAAAGGTTTGGGCTTAATAGGGGATAGGCTAGGCCACCCTCACCATAGCCCCACTTGTAACGGTTCATTATTCAAGTGAGCCCATGTCCAGGCTGTTCCCAAGCCTGGACTAAGAAGATTGTCAAATCGAATGAGTGGCTCACTGGTCCAGGGCAGGAATTGGCCCAGCAATCATCTGACCATTCCAAGCTAGTTGTCAGCCTCAAATGGATTCTACTTCGACTCTTTCGCAGCTGCAGCTTCTAAACTTTGACTTTTCGCTTCTATGACACAACGAAGAACATCTGGGAATTTGTTTAGCAGCGAAGGGTATGTCAAGCCCAATTGGACATGCATGCCCCTGTGTGCTTTCTAGTTGTCTATGCTGATTGTTTTGTTCAACATGATTTTTTTCAAGAATTGGGTCCTCTGTGAGTCTGTGAGGTTGCCGTCTTTGCCCAAACCATTACCCAAAATCAAGGCGCCTTGCAGTTCTGGGATTACTTGTGTCCAAAGCCCGGGGCTACTTTATAGCGTGGCATCGACATTTTAAGCCTCCCAACAACAGCAACGGGCATCCTTGTTTCCCCCTTAACCATTACCTCACAAGAAGGAAACTCACTTTAGGCTGGCCCGGGTTCAAAATAGCGGGATCCCAAATCCTACCGGAATCCGGAATCCGGAATCCGTAGTGGGACGCCACTACAACAAGGGAAACGACTACCATGTGGCAGGATGGCAGGAGAACTAAGAAATCACTTGAGCAACCCAGCCAAAAGTTGAAATATAGGAAGCCCTGCACTGAGGTCTGGCAGTGTGCATTTGTTGCTCGCCGGAGATCTTTGCAACGGCACGGGTTTCGGCAGCAAACAACGGTGGTCCCTTTTGCCGTCTTTCTTATACTGAGACAAGTTGGGCATCCAAAAAGAAGGGCCGAAACAAGTTGTTGGAAACCAAATAAAGTTCATGATCATAAGAAAATGACTACTGCATTTAAGTACTGTGTTCGTCCCTTATATAACCTCCAGGAAGCATCTTGCACTTTGACAGAAACACATACATCAGTCCACACGGCGTGAAGGGACACCACAGCTTTAGCACTGCCCTTCGAAGCGTCAACCGCACAAGGGCAACAATCAATCAATCAATCAATCAGTCAATCAATCCAGTCCGTCGAGGCGCGGCTTTGCACATGGGTCATTGAATCATGACCGATGCAGGCAAGCGGTATTAGCTCAAGAGATGCATGATAGCAATGTCCTTGAAAACGCAATAGCCAGAAGTAAAAGGATGACTATAATCCGTGAGTTGGATCAATCTGGCATGTCGAATGACCCATGAGCGACAGATGCTTGACGTGCTGGCTACATACAACCGTGCAGTCACTGGCACTCAGTCTGCCTGGCGAATATCACGTTGCCGTGTAGCAGACTTCTTACTTGCCTCAGCCGCCTACGACAAGAAATATGTGTTGGATCCTGCTACTTCCCAACAACTGTGAAGGACAAAACTACTAGGTAAACTGCTTAGAAGCGGGGCCACTGTGGATGCCGGGCAGGGCGAACAATGTGACACACGTAACGGCCTGATTGGGCCAAAGGCTCCACACCGCAATGCGTGCAAATACACCTCACAAAAAAATAGCACATGCGCTTCTCAAAATACGAAAGTCGTTGTTGTTGATGGCGCAAGGTGTCTGTATGTATGTATGTGTGTGTGTGTGTCGTGCGGGAGAGTGTTCGTGCGTGGTTGTGTTCATGTGCCCATCGACCCACCTCGGACAACTCGCCGTCATCCATTTGGCCGCCGCCCAGTGCCTAGAGGACCCTTTGCCAGAAACCGCACAAAAGGCTTCATCTAAGATAATCTAACAACCCCGTTGTCTGAGGTCCATGACCCTTCCTACGAAGAAAAGAGCCCTTTTAACCATGGCACGGTATAACCGACAAAATAGAACATCAAACCAGCTGATCATCGGATATGCTTCAAGAAGCGGGCGAATTCTGAAAATTCCTGAGGCGTGGGCGGCATACACCGTCGCCGCATCCTTACCTGTGGCTTCTTGGGAGCCCAAAGGAATAAAACAAAAGCCACGCAGGCTGGGAGTGGTTGCAACGCCACAAACAAACAAAGGGCACTTTAAAGGGGACCTGAAAAGGTGCAGTGCCCTTTGACTAATTTTGTTGCCTTGCCGCTTCGTTGTTGCAAAACGCAACCTGCACGCATGCATATAGGTCAACATATGAATGGCGCCTCTATTGTGTTGAAGCAATGGTTTCACCAAGAAGACTCATGTCAACCAGCCACCTTGCCACGTTTGGGTCCACGGAGAAACCCATGTAGCAAGGAGAGGTCTGTGGGAAGGTGGGCACTGCGAGCTTGGCCAGTTTCACAGATTAACATGAAACCTGGAAAACCGTGGTTGGAGTGGTATTCTTTTGGGGAAGAGTAATAAAGTCAGATTCGTGAAGAAAAATGGACACCAAAAAAAAGGCGACACCCAAAGAGAGGCGGCGTCTTAACCTGTGGACCCGCCTGGCTGCTTGTTCAAAGGAAAAGAGATAGATCGGTCAATGTGGAAGCTGGAGCAGCTTTGAAAAGTCATTCACACGTTGAACTTGCGCTGGGGGTACGTTGTCTTCCCTGGCTGTAATCCCGTAATCCCCATTTAAGTTCAGCCAGGAATGGAACAAACTACTCAAACGAGCGGGCAGGTATAACCTGCGATCTTGTTGGCTTCCACATGTGACCACGGAAGCTTGGGTTGTTCTCCCCATGTCCTGCCCAAACCAACAAACGACCAATAATTGTGTCAGCTGCTCATGATTTTCTGCTGGGCTTATGCTCTTCGACCACAGCCAGGGCTTGGCACTGCCAACGGCTCACAGTTGGCTGTCTACGGGCTCCATTTGACGATCCCAGGCAGCGGGAAATATCTGCAGTACCAAAAGTTACTAAGCCAGACCCCTGCTTGGCTCTAGGCTGTGCCTACCATGGGGTGCTCCTGGTTTCACCGGGGATCAAAAGCCCTCTGGGTCTGCCGGCGCACTGCAGCGTCGTCGTCACCGAGGAAACCCGCAGCCAAGGCAGGGGCAGCGCCTGTACTTTCAAAACCAAAAACACCAAAGGTCCCAGTAGGTCCCAGGGGGGCAGCAATCCCTCCAGAAAGTTCAAGATACTGCTTAAGTTTGGTGGTGGGTCCGGACATCTCTGAATCGCGTGTTGTTCTGCTTTAGACGAAGGACATGGCCTGCAACCACAGCTACGAGTACAAGGCGTCTATCTTGCCAAACCCTAGCGAGAAATACGGAACAAAACAGAAAATCGCTTTGACAGGTGCGTCTGCATCCAGTCTCTCGAATGCTTGAGTATGCCGCATCTCTTCACCTGGTTCTTGCATGACCAGGAAACCTGGCAAATGATTTTTGATGTTTTCCCGTTTTGCTTTTCTGTCTTGGAACTGGCAGGTGCGATCTCTCTTGGTTCTGCTGTGGTTTGACTCGTTTTGCACCAGTGCTGTCAACATCATTGTTTTAACTCGGCAGCATCCTTTTCAACATCCTCAGCATCACGAGCTGGCTTTGTTAGGCTGGGTCTAGGGTGGCTTCAAGGTTGGCTAGGTTTGGCTCAGGTGGGTTCCAGGCTTGTTTGGGGCAAGTTTGGGGGTGGCTGCGCTTTAGGTGCTGGGATGGTTTAGTGCTGATTTATGGTGGGGCTTCTTGGGGTTGGTTTAGGGTGCGTTTAGGGCTGGTTTAGGGTGGGCCCAACACTGCCACACAAGTCTTAGGCTTAGGGATGGTTTAGCTTTGGCGGTTGGTGGGGTTTGCTTTGGGTGTGTTAAGGGTCGGTGTAGGGTGGGTTTAACGGGGTTTAGTTTGGGTTTAGGACTGATTTGGGGGTTGCTCTAGGGTGGGTTTAGTAGGGGGTTAGGCTTTGTATAGGGTTTGCTTAGGAGGGTGGTTTAAGGTGGGTTTCTTTCAGATGGTTTTGTGCTTGTTTAGTGCGGACTTAGGGTTGGTTTCGGGTGGGGTTTGGGTGGGCTTCAGGATTGGCTTCGGGTGGTTGGGGGTTTAGGCTTGGTTTAGGGTAGGCTTGGGTTCAGAGTGGGTTTGTTTAGGGCCTTGAGGGTGGGCTTTGGATCACAAAGCCAAACAACGGCCCTATAAATAAGCGGGGGGGTTGCCAGGGAGGGGGCCCCATCTACAGAAACCTGAGAGGCAAGAAGCCACCAAAAGATCCAGAAAGCCAAAAGCCGGTGATGCTGGGGTGTTACTGGTGGTGAGGATGCGGAAAGCCGAAGCCACAAAGGGCACAAGAGTGAAGCCAAAAAGTCAAGACTCCAAGAAGCCCAAGGCCAAAAAGCCAAGAAGCTAAGAAGCCGGATAAGGTAAAGTTCAGGAAAAATCCTTAAGAAAAACGGGAAAATCCAAAAAATAGCCCTCCAATGACTGCTCCGTTTCCCTCATCCATTTGACTATGAAATATTGAAAGGAACGGTAACATATTATGATTATTGAGGCTTACCTACAGGACACATCACAAACTAAGCTACTGCAATTATTGGAATAATCCAAAAAAACATTTAGGTGATTGGATGACTAGTAACTCTTCTTTCTCCTTCGTATCCAGGAAACATGCATGTGCGAGATACTACAGAATACAGTCAAATGAACACTTCGTGGGCAAGGGTCTCGCAGATTGCTGGTTGCCCTGAGTTCAGCAAACACACAAGATGCGCAGATTTGCCGAGCTGATGATTCGCCCAAAGCTCCAGGGAAGGCGAACCTCTCATAGCTTCTCCCCCACCTGACAACATCTACACGTGGCCGCAGGATACAAACAAACAGGAGCCTTGCTTGGATGATAACTACCCTTGAACAAGATGCAATTCCCCACCTTACCCATCACCAACTCGCAGCATGTTGACCACATGATTGGTAGGTCTAAGGGAAACAACCCAGCTCCTGACTTTGATACCGCCCTTTCAGAAACCGTCAAACAATGCCCCAATGTCTTGGACTAGACTTAGACCGGCTAAAAAACAACTTGCTGCTGCCTAGAAGGCGAAAATACGGAACCACAATGGCAAAACCGGAAATATTCTGAGAGATGTCAGCCAAGTCAGGCAAATGTGTGATGGGGTTAACAATGAGTGATGGAGAACCCACCAAACAAAAGAGAAACAACATGACATGCCACACTGGAGGTCTGTGCAAGGACCCAAATCACCCCGTCCCAAGCGACGTCGAAAAAGCCCCATGCCGGCTGCGCCCATCTTCTCAAGAGCCGCAAGTGCCTCGGGAAGCAGTCGGTTCGCGACTGCGTTGCCCTGACTCTGACTTCAACCTTCAAAGAGTTGCGCCTGTTTTATGGGTACCCTACCAGAACAAAAACGGAACTTGAAAGAGAGTCCCTGAGGAAAATTGTCTTCCGAAGGGCCCCTTTCAGAAGAGGAGCATGTGGCCGCACGAACACCAGCGACAAATCGAACGTCAGAAAGACCAGGCCCACTTTCGTGCTGCTAAGCGCTGAGCGGCAGCCATGGCAACATGGCAACTCAGCCCTTGCGAAAAGCAAAACTTTGAGTGGGAAATAAGATATGTCGCAAATGCCACTAAACTCCAAACAAATCTAAAGTCCGAGGGTATGGCTTGGACACGCACGCCATGCAACAACTGATTCAACGGCTGGATACTTGCAAAGTTGACCTGGGCAGCTGCCAGATGTCGCACTGTTTCACCCGAGAGCTTCTGTCAGGTGAAAGGATGGCTGCCGGCCTCATTGGCCACTTCCTGTGCATCTGCACTGGGGTACCCACCTGCAGGGAAGCGCTCATCGGTAAACCGATTGCCAAAACACCTATATGGCTGTGGGTCAAAACCAATGGTACCATTTTGGGGTAGGTGCACCACCCATTTTAGTCCCTTTTAGTGGGGAGTGGGATGTTCACTGGGGGTACGGGATTTTGACCCATGGCCATATAGTCATTCAAGCCGGCCACAGCCTTACCCACTCTTGCCAAGGCGCTCAGCGTCCAGCATAAAAGCATGCGATTGCTGGAACCCTGTGAAAGTGGGTCTGCCAATGCAAGGATCGTGTCTTCCATTGCAAGGATCGTTTTGAAGAACAAGGAAGAAACAACCATGCACTTGTTCAGAGTAAATACGCAGCCATCAGCCGAATGCCTTCCTGTAGGTTTCAGTGGCGCATCATGCTGATGCTCCATGTGTGCGCGAGATCGTTCCACGGATAGCAAAAGGAGCAGCCAACTAGCTGACTGATCGTTCTCCCTCAAGCGCAGGTCAAACATGCTCAGAAGCAAACACGGTTGCACCAAAATACCCAAGTCTCATGCTCATCTGCATCCCGTTGGTCTTTGATGCCGCTATGCAAAGACGGGCATCTCCGAAGCCCTTTGTGCAAGACTCTAAGACCAACCAGTATATACTTCTAGTAATGTGAGAAAAAACATGCACCACACTTACACGTTCGTGTCATAGATTGTCGCAAAGGTTGTGAACAAATGAGGCATCTGCCCCAACCCAGTCGGTCACAGGTAAGAACAGCTCCAGCGCATGCCCAATGTTGAGCTCAGCATTTCAAGACCTTCACCCAGCTATCTAAAGAATTGGTGTCCAAATATGACGCGAATGAGGACAGTCCTGCGGTTCATTTTCTTCTTGACCACTTTGAATACGCCAAGACACACTGACACGGGTCCACTGTTCGGCGCAAACCAACGTGACTTCTGCGTTCCCTTTGTGAAGCGCTGCTTCTCTCCAGAGCACGGTCTGTGGCTTTTCCATTGGCTTTCTGACCGACAAGGACCAAAGAGGAAGTTCCTCACCCTTGGGGCTGAGGTTGTTCGTAATGTAATCATATTGACTACGGCTGACTAAGGCTGCAAGATCTCATGCCGAAGTTATGACTCAGCTCGGCATTCCCGTCGTTGACCAACTTTTCAAACAGAACCAGTGGGTTGAAAGGGAAAACAAAGGTACAACTAAGGTGGAAGTTCCCGGCCCGCCTGTCAAGAACTCGTCCACCGGCTGCGGCTCTGCTGCCTCCGGCTCTGTTGGCTCTCTTGGCTCGGGCTCTGTCGGCGCCTCGCTCACTTCGACCTCTGCAGGCCTGGGTGAGAATCCATGCCCGAACTCGAAGCTTAGATACCCTTGTTCAAACAATCATGGCTGGCAGGAGGGACTCGGAGGACTACCGTCCTCCTGGTTCTGGGGCCTGTCTGACCACTTTAATGATTGGAGCGCAACATGCAAATGTATAAACACCCACACACACATGCACACACACACACATTCCTCTTAAGTCTCCTACATGATCGTGACGCAACTTGGTTTCAAAGTATCATGGCCTTCTTGCCACTGGTCTGTTCCTATCCAGCCCCTTGCCCTTACCTGGGAGCGCTCCCTCCCCCCCCCCCGCAAACCCACACCCAGGACAAACCAGCCCGAAACCAGCCCCAAACCAATCCCCAAACCAACCTACGTAAGTTATAGCCTAAACCACCAACTCTGAACCAACCCGAAAGCAACCTGCAACCCAACCCTGCATTAAAGTTGTAAAGCTGACCAACAACAAGACAACTGCAAGTCACAACAACCCAACCGTGGAACCCAACCACAAGACCACACCACCAAGGAGGAGTAAGTACTTGTCTGACCTATGCCCACCCATGACCATGCACCATATTTACACAAAATGGAAATTATCATGCCGTGGTCTGCATCCGGGGGATATTCAGCTGCCAGGCGCAGCCAGCGCATCCCCAAATGCAAGAGAAGTACCAAAACATTTGAAACAAGACTTGATGCCAATCGGAATGTCTCAGCGAGGTCCTTGTCGGCCTTCAACATCAAAGTAGAAAACAGGTTCCGTTGTCAACACTCCTTGCGAGGGAAGGGTCATGGTCCGCCATGACCTTGCACGGTAACATATGAGATCTCTTGTTTGGAGCTCTCTCTCTCTCTCTCTCGTCTTCTTCTTATTATTATCCCTCCTGCTTCTTCTGCTTCTTCTCCTCCTTCTTCTTCTGCTTCTTGTTTCTCTTTATCTTTCTTTATCTCTCTCTTGCTCTTCCTATTTGTTCTTTCTTGTTGCGCTCTCTCTCTCTCTCTCTTTCTCCCAACAGCTCGCGAAGGAGAAACATGCAACAATACCAAGTTCTGCGAGGCTCTTCCTGGATAGCCTTTTGACGCTTGCGCAAGCTGGCAACCGACACAACAAGAGTTTCTTAGGGTCGACCCCCCGAACGTCCGAAGAGGGTTGGTTGCTCGAGCGAACAACACAAATCGCCAACAGCCACCGAGAGTTGAGGGTCGACCCACCTAAAGTGCGCAAAGGGTCCACTTCTGGAGGTTACGAAACAGCTCACCCGCACAACGTTCCGAGACCGCCTCAGGTGTCGCCTTCAAGATCACGCGCAAGAGCATGCGTTCTTCGAGAGAGCTAGCTCAATTGGTCCTAGTGCTACGGAAGTTCCTAAGATGTGTTTATTGGGAGCCGTATTCAAGCTGCAAAAAACTGAACACCCATCTCTTCATCGGACTCACCGTTCAATTCAAACTATTCAATACATTTCTCCTGATTACCCCTTCAACCGCATACCGACGCGTAAAATTGCAAATTTGCAAGGAGATCTAGGTCTCCGCAGAATCCGATATTCGCCTAGCCTCAGCAATTTTACCTCGAACTCCCACCTGTGCAAAGACCGTCTCCAATTCCAGCCGCATCTAGTGGCAAGCTGGCAAACACTCTGTTCGGTGCCCGAACGTTTGGGCAATCCTGATCTTCAGCCGAGACCTCTTCGATAAGCAGGGGTGGGGGGGTTTGGTGTGATAAGCAGGGGTGGGGGGGGGGGTGTTGTTCCAGAACAACAAACACCCCTCAACGAAGGGGTATGCTTCAGCCTGACCCACACTTTGGGTCCAACGTTTAATCCGCAAGTCAAGGAGCGCATCGCCCACGTCAGGGTCCGCCCTACCGTCGGTCGGCCACCAGCGCCTCAGCGCCTTCTCCCATTCGGACAGCTCCTGCATTCACCGAATCGCTGAAGCCAGGTCCACTTTGAAGACACGTAAGGGAGACGATTTAAACGGTAACTGATTAAGCAAGAGGTTGATCCAACCCCGAGCCACGGCTGGGAACAAGCCATGGAGGCTGGTGATTCAGAAATGTCGTGTTCAAAGGAGTGACTATTGCTTCGCAGTTGGGTTTGGGATGCAAGATACATCTCCCACTCCACTAGACACTGAAACACTTCCAGCCGGGTGGAACCATTGTGAAAAGGCAGATGGATGTAAACCAAATCCATAATCTGTAGTGGGACACCAAGACGACAATGGAAACCGCTGCCATGCGGCATAAGGGACAAGGACTCTTGAAGATGGCTTGTGAACAACCGAACCAAAGAGAAGCATCACCCCCCGCTACCCCCAAACAAAAGAAGAGGAATGCAACTGATTCAAGCCACCCAAAACGGCATGGTTGCGGAACATCACCCCTTCTGAGTCTGTGATATCAGCATGGGTCCTTTCAATGACTACGTATCACTTTGGAAATTCACTGGGTCTCACAGAAAGTGGGACCCGCAAAACGACCGTTTTCCTCCGGCGGCAGGCGAAGCGTCAGCTTCCAGCGCGGCCTCAGCCACTCCCTGGCCGGCTGCAAAGTCAGCATGGAGTCGCCCACCGAGAGGAAGGCGCCCTCCAAGGGCCCTTCAGTCGGATCGGATTCGTTAGAAGCTCGCGAGACCCGCGATGGAAACGGAGAACAATTCAGGGCGCCCCCAAAGACCAACCAGAACAAAGGGGGAGATTCTCTTGTGTAGTCACAAACAACGAAACTGGGGTTGGTACGTGTATCTTGAAGAAGCTTGAAGCATCTCTTTTGTGTGAAAAGCATGATAATTGGACGAACCAACCCTTCTCCTGCTACCCAGAAGGGATTCCCATCCTCCTGACTAGGCATTCAGTTTGAAAGAGCTTTTAGTATCACAGAGCCTCAGTTGCAGGGGCAGCCCCCCCCCACCCCGCAGAAAAAGAGAGGCTTGATGTAGGCTTGTTTTTAAAAAGCCCCGAAAGAGTACGCCACAAACAAGAGAGCAGATTCTGACCAAGGTGCGGCCCGACCAAACTGGAGTTCTGTAGGTGTCTGTCCCATCGAAGCAGTGAACGGAGCCCTCCTTCCAACTCGAGAAAACAAACTCCAGAAAAGACACGCCCTGCAAGTTTTGTCAAGTCGAATCGCCCAGCATCTGTATTTTGGCATGCTTGCAATTAG